TGCTGCTTCTTCAATAATTATCTTTTTAGCGTCGTCGGCGTCCGCGTATTTCTTAGCGGTGGCCAGGAGCGCTGTGACCGAATCAGGTCTTTTGCAGAGGAGCTTGTCCCTTAGGGCATCGTGGAAGCGGAGGCCAGTGATGAAAGCCTCGATTGCCTCGTTGTCAGAGATTGATGGGACCTTGATGCGCATCTCCGAGAAACGCCGGACGTACTCGCGCAGCGGCTCATCTTTTTGATCTTGAATACGTTGCAGATCGTATTTGTTGCCTGGTTGTTCACAAGTAGCAATGAAGTTGTCGATGAAGGCTTGCTTGAGCTCCTGCCAAGAGTCGAAATAGTTCGCCGGCAAGCTGACCAGCCATTGGTGACCCGCATGGCCAACAGCGACTGGGAAATAGTTAGACATGACGTGCTCGTCCGCCATGGCTGATCTGCACGTAGTCTCGTAAAGCATGACCCATAATTCAGGGTTTTCCTTGCCGTCGTACTTCTGAAGCTTCTCGAGCTTGAAATTCTTGGGCCATATGACTTGGCGAAGGTGTGGAGTAAACTGCTTCAAACCCGGCGGGCCGTGGGCAGTGTCATATTCCATACGGCGATAACTTTCGTGGGACGCTCGATCGTCGGCTCTCTGGTTGATGCGAGTGCGCAGATCGCGTCCACCGAGGTAATGGCGGAGATCGTTATTGCCATCGCGGCGATCTTGATTGTCATCTGGATTAGCCCTATGACCGCGGTTATCGCGGCGATTGTCGTGGTTGTCCCGGCGGTGGTTGTCATCCTGGCCACCATCATGGCCACCATTTCCTTCTTGACGGTTGTCTGATGGGTCGTTGTTGCGTGAGCCACGTTGGTTGGGCGGCTGTGAGCGACTTGGGTGCTGGCGGCTGTGGCTTGACTCGACCGAGATGGATGGAGCCCGAGCTTGGTTTACAATCTCCGTGGTCTGGGCCATAGCAGCCATCAGATAGGCTTGTATTTCATCGCGAACTGCTTGGGTTGCCGGGGTGTTGGGTAGCCGTTGCATTGTTGCCATGGCGACGGCTACATTGGCACTTGGAGTTCTGAAGACCTGTTTGTCCCCCACCCTGTCGAAAGCATCGTTGAGGTCATGTGGCTAGACCCTTATGCGTCGTGCCTCCTGGTCTGCTTTGGCTTCGATTTGTCGGCGATTAAACCGGTCAATATTGCGTGCTTCACGTGCAGTCCTTTCTTATTTTGTTTCACCAACTGCTGGCGGTTCGTCATTGCTGACAACATGGATCAGATCCCCTCGTCTTGGTGGGAAAGACGGGAATTGTGAGAACCCCGGGGCATGGTCTGGGATATCCAGATCGTACTTGACGCCTTCATCTTCGTGATGCTGAAGCTCGGTGTGGACAGATGCATTAGATGCGGTGCCAGACGAGGAGCTGGGGTTGCCCTCTTGGACTGTGTGAACGGATCCTTCTTGATAATCTTCAATCTGGATCATGTTGACGAAGTCGTGTGGCTTCGGCTGAGGTCGGTGCATAAGACACAGATCCAAGCGGCGTTGCAGGTCGTAGGCATAGCTGGAGGTAGCGTTTTGCAGGCCGTAGGGCTGGACCTGGTAGTTCTCCGTCGAGGCTTCGTACTCGGAGAGCCGGAGACCCGTTATGGCGGCGGGCGGCGGCGACGAAGCAGAGCGCCCTTGAGGAGTAGATGTGACCACGAGATCTGCATCAAGTCGTGCAGACGGTATCGTCCGAGCTGGTCGGGTAGATCTGTTGTGGGGAGTGGTTACCTGCTCATTAGGCTGACTTTGAATCGTACTTACCAGAGCCAGGGTTTTAGCGAGCTTGGTGCCGACCCGATTGATGGAGTCGAGCAGGTCGGTGTTGTCGATATGCCTCCCTTTGTAGCGGGGAAGCGGATGACGAGTTGTCGGTGTGGCTAAAGGTGATGCAGGCGTGGTCGGAGCCAGATGTATCGTGGTTGGAGCCAGATCCATCGTGGTCGGAGCCGCATCCATCGTGGTCGGAGCCATGTCCACCGTGGTCGGAGCTAGATGTACCGTGGTCGAAGCCGTATCCACCATGGTCGGAGCCATAGCCGATGTAGGTGAAGCAGTGGTCGACGCAGACTAAATCCACGCCTCCTCCGGGGTCATGGCGATGAAGTCGTCGGAGCCGGTGGTCTAGGTGATCTGGCCAACGGTGAACGTGAGGCCGTTCGGCGTAGCCATGGAGCCGGAGATGATGACCGTCTTATTTGCTTGGGAAGCAGTACGCACACCCCCTACCTGGCGCGCCACTGTCGACGAAATATGGTCGGCAGTCTACCTAGAGGTATACCCAAGGTAGTAGATTGTCGTGAGCATGACACGCAAGCTACAAACAAGACGGTGACGCAAGATGCAGACACAAGGCTTTATCCGAGTTCGCCGCCAAGAAGGCGTAATACCTACGCCCTCACGTCCGATTTGTATTGCTTTGTATGTCAATGAGAGATGTTTTTAGAGGGTCCCCCGCCCGCCTTATATAGTTCGGGGGTAGGGTTACGATCTGAAACTAATCCTAGCCATTACAATTGCCATATGTGGCGGGATAAGGATTCCTATTCTAACCGACCCGTAATCTTGATTGATCGCCAAATCCGCTTTGACTCCTTGCACGGACTCGATCAGGTTAACCGGCCATACGTCGTCTTTTGGTGGACCGAACCCATCGATCCGGGCCGGCCCAAGCTTAGCCATAAGGGTATAGGGGCTAATACCCCCACAGTGAAGTAGAGCAGCCCCCGGGTGTATTTTGTAGTTCTTGTACATTTTGTTGTAGCCGAGGGAGTCTTGTCGGGTTGTATCTCTTTTTTTAGAGTCGGTTTCAGTATTCACTTTCTTCCTTATTCCGAGTTGTATCCGAAGTTGAGAGTTTTGTCATCTTCTCGGCGAGTTTGTATTGAACTTCGTCATCAATTCTTTTTTCTGAGACGGGTGCACGAAGCTTGTCGTCGCCGTCGACCCTTGCGTGATCCGTGATCCGAAGACAAAGGTTGTTCCCGCCGATGTTTTACCACCGATAGCTCCGCCACGGGTACACCCGGACAGATTGTTCTAAACTTCGCGAATAGCGGATTCGGCGATTACGCAAAGAGACTCACGATTTATCTTGGTCTAGGCCCTCGACTTGGTCGAGTAATAACCTTACGTCCGCTTTTGGCGTTAACTTTGTTTGCGTTATATTGCTTTGAGTATCGGGTATGTCGATGTTTTACCACCGATAGCTTCGCCACGGGGTACCCGGACGATTGTTCGGAGCTTCGCGAATAGCGGAATTCGCTGTTACGCAAAGAGACTCACGATTTATACCGTTCGTGCCCTCGACTTGGTTGAGTAATAACCTTACATCCAGCTTTTGGCGTTAGCTGTTTATGTTATATTGCTTTGAGTATCGGGTATCGTTCTCCTCCTACAATGGGTACCCTCACCACCCTTTATAGTCCGGTACCGAGAGGCGTTGTTTGTGTCCTATTCGGATACAAGGTCAGAGTCCTAAGCTACGCTTCGGGCGCCTTTCCTTGTATAGTTTGAGTTGGAGTTTCGGTTTTGCACGTTGCTTTGCTCCGCGTTCTTCTTGGCGATTGGGCTATAGGCCTTGTTACCAAGGCCTATATCCCTGCAGTATAGTCTATGGGGGGCCCGTAGGGTTCCCCATCGACAATAAACAAATAAAATTAAAAAACTCTAAAATTCTCTATATCTCTAAACAATGAAGTGTGCTATGCATGCTACAAATGAACGGTGAATACTAGTTTTTAATAGCTACTTTAACCTTTCTTCATGTAAATATGCAAGCTTGAAGTTTAAAGGTTTCAGGCGTTTTAACACTACTCGCTTGCCGAGAAAGTTGCCGGTGTTGTGCTGGTTGGCATTTTTCATGGCCGTGGCCATGGTCATTGTGTTCTCGTCTTTTCTCGCGGCAGTAAATAATTCACATGATATTTCCGTAAATTAACAGAAGAATGGGGGTGTACACACATAACAATCGATTATCGTTTATATTTATATATATATTACGTTTAGATACGGTGATTGATAGACTACTGCGACGATATCAGGACGTGTGAATAAATAACCATCCGTACTAGTTGACCTTGCTTACGTGATCATCTCGGCGAGCATTTCTCCACCGAACGGCACCGTACTTGGCCACGGAAGAGCTCCGATTCTACGAGGAAGGGAACACGGTCTTCCACAACCGTTGCCGCTCTCCCTCGTAGAACCAAAGCTCCTCCTTGATGTCCGTTACCGCTCGGCAGAGAACATGCTCGCCGAGATGAACACAGTCCGCAAGTTCAACTAGCTACTTTAACCTTCCTTCATGTAAATATGCAAGCTTGAAATGACTTTGAGCTCAAATTGCTTACAAATGAAAAAAACCATAATAAAGAACCATATATATAGTGAACAAAATGAGATAAGACAATGGTGAAATATGAGAGTATGAAGTTGGTAACCTTTAGAACCGAAGAATCGACGGAGGAATCGAAGAAATCGACGGAGCAATCGAAGAATGGATGGAGAAAGAGCAAGAACACTGCTTAAATTTAAACTGAAGCTTTCGGACAGGCTCGGGGAATAAAAAGACGACCAGCAGGATTTATAGGGAGACCTTTAGTCTCGGTTGGTGGATCCAACCGGATCCAACCGGGATTAAAGGTCACTTTTCAGTCCCGGACCACGCCACTAGCCGGGACAAGAGCTTTACTTCCAGTTGGAGCTACCAACCGGAAGTAAAGGTCGACCTTTAATCTCGGTTGGTGGCTTCAATCAGGACTAAAGGTCCCCTGCCACAACGGCCTGACGCAGGAGCCGTTGGGCAGGGACCTTTAGTTCCGATTGGAGCCACCAACTAGGACCAAAGATCTCTCTTATCTCGGGCGTAATATTTTTCGAGACTAAAACCTGGTTTGACTCCTGCACGAAAGGTCTGTTCTCTGGGGCACGATGCCCGTGGGCATGTTTGGGTCCGTCCGCCCCTACGCCGTCACCATGTTGGACTGGCTGTCCCCGGGCTTGCGCACCGTCATCAGGCAGTTCTGGAACAGCGCCGCCGAGTTGCCGAAGATGAAGTCCACGGTGCCCAGCACCTCGCAGTTGTGGAAGAACTGCCGGTTCGCGTGCACGTACAGCGTGTCCTGGTACCCCTCGAACCGGCACGTACAGCTCTTGTCGCCGGTGACCACCGTCTTCGTCGGCCTGTCGCCGTACATGAAGATGTTGGCCATGTCCTTGGGCACAGTGACGTAGTCCTTGTACACGCCGGCCTTCACGTAGATGACGAAGCGGCCCTCGAAGGTCTTGGGCACGGCGGCAATGGCCTCGGTGATGGTCTTGAAGTCGCCACTCCCGTCCGGGGCCACCACTTTGTTGGGCTTCTGCAAGCTGGGCAGCTGCAGGAGCCTCCGCTGGGTGGCCGGCATCCACTTGGGGAAGTCGCCGGGCGGCACCTGGTTGCGCCCGTCTTGTATCTCGTCGAACGTGCCGATGAGGCCTGTGGTCAGTACCCTGTGCTCAGGATGGCCGCCGGACATGGTGTCCTCCATCGTTGCCTCATCAAGCTGGCGCTTGGCCTCGGTGGCCGCCTTGTCGATCCCCATGAGCGTCCGGGACAGCAGCTCGCGCTTGCCGGCTAGCTCGTCGGGGAGCTCCTCCGCCGCGAGAAGCTGGCGGTTCGCCTCGGCGAACGTGCTGGCGATGCTCTCGAGCTCGGTCGACAGAAGGTTGCGTCGGGCAGCGTGATAAGCAGGCGCCGGCCGTTTGCGCCGTGGGACATGCCGGCAATCTCGTCCAGCGTGTCCGACAGGAGCTTCCGGTTTGCGCTCGCCACGTCCGCGATCTCGCCCAGCTCGTCATCGACGGACAGAAGCCCGCGGCCGCCGCTGGTCACCTCCTCGGCCTCGCCCATCTGCCAGCCAAGAAGCCGGCGGCCGTGCCCCGCACCCGCCAGGGTGGCGTTCAGAGCTTTGGCTTCCTCCGGCAGGAGCTCGCCGAGGCAGGTGAGGATGGCGAGCGCGTTGCTGCTGAGCTCGGTGGAGTTCTGCAGCACCTTGTCCGTGGCCTCCTTGAGCTCGGGCTTCTCGAATCCGTCGGCGCAGGTGTAGACGTAGGTCATGACGCCGGAGACCAGACCCGGAGGTCCTTGACGTGGCGCACCACGTCCTCGGGCTTGAGCCTCGCCATGGCCCTGAGGGGCAAACGGCTCTCACGTGCTGCTCACATGATCTATGGACACGGTGGCTGCTCACATGCATTGCCACGTAGGATCATAGGTCTAAATGACACAACTTAAAAAGTTTATGTACTCAAATCTACACTTTCAAAGTTAATGGACCTAAATGACACAGCACGAAAAATTGATGGCCTATGTTTAGTTTCCTATTAGAGGTAGAACGGCAAGCAGAATGGACATATGTATGTTCCCTAAATTTTAACAATAGGAATTTAAACGTACTAGATGCAAGATTCAACCGAGGGTATACGTTGGTTTTATCTTATACATGCTCTCCTATAATAGTGTCATGTAACTTTAAGTCAACTTATTATTGGACACCTTAGATAATAAGCTGTCTGAAATGAATGTTTTGTAATAGAAACAAAGAAGTATTGTAAGTTGCATGATAACAACAAACATACAATTATAAAATTTAGGCTGTGAAATGGTTATTTAATGAAATAACAATATTTTTATCTTTTTCCCCTCTCTTTTCTATCTATATCATAAAAAATCCTATATAACTACGCATAAGAGACCACTAAGATAAACTAGTAAGAGCATGTCCAAGACTACTCTATTTTGTCTTCCAAAAATATGTTGTTTTCCAACTTCTAAAATGATATTGGGAGGAATAAATAAGATCATGTCCAACAGTTTCTAATAATCCACTCTTTAAATAAGAACACAATTTTGTATCAGAAATTCTATACTATTTTTAAATTATCATAACCATTTTTATAAATTGTTTCTCTCTTATACATTTGCATCAGGAACCCTGTACTACTCTTTATTCTTTCCTGTACTATTCTTGATTCTTTCCCCGTTCTTCCACCTTTAGATTGGCCACACCGTACGCGCGTTTAGATCGGTGGGAGGGGATACGTCGCGACTTTCAGTCCGCGCATCTTTACGCGCAACGGAGGGTTTTTTTTTCTAAGTGCTAAAAGATTGGGAGGTGGGATTATGAGTTGTTGGATATGATTTTTTTTTCTAGGCAACCGGAAATCAGCTAATCTCAAAGGATGGATGGATATGTAAAAGATTCCCAAAAAATCACTATATTACCTATCCAAATCGTCACATTCGCTGCACCACCCACCACTGATCCGCCGCCCACCAGAACCTTCACGAACAGACCCTGTAAACTTTTCTAACCGATTCTATCCATACCCACGTCCGCTAAACCTAACACTACCCAAACCATGACCCCACACGCCAGCGCACACAGTCCCAGGCGTCTTAACTTCTGCGTTACTCATGCTTAAAGCGCTTTGAGCACGCCAAGCCGCCAGTGCCCAACAGTAGCGAGTCCAGATCTAGCTCTAGCTGCTTCCCACGCAGCCACATCGCCCATACCTACTTTTGCGCCAATGACTTATGGGCCCCGGTCAAGTGTAGGCCCCGCTTGTCACTTGGAAAGAAATGCTACGTTCGGGTAAACTTCGAGCAGGAAGACCGGATCGGGGAGTGTGGCACGACCCGAGCACCAGCTCGTCAACCCCCGACTCCGTCCGCACTCCGTAGTCCGTACCCGTGACTTCCATTCCAAAGCACCCCGCTCCTTCCTCCCGTGCCTACACCTCGACGTCGATGCCAAAACCCTAGCGCGAACCCCACCTCTCCCCGTCCTGTTCCTCGTGACGCGGCGGCAGCCATGGCGGAGCCGGCCCTCCTGGACCCCTCCCCCTTCGATCTCCGCCACTACCCGGCGTACCACTTCGACCCGGACATCCCCCTCGACGCCGGCGGCCTCCCGCTTGGCGAATTCGCCGGCGACGACGGCTGCGATGGCCTGGACTTCGACCTGCCCGTGGATTTCTCTATCGACGACTTCCTCCTCCGGTCCCCCTACCGCGGGGACGACGGCGACGACTCCGGCGAGGGCTCAGCCGCCGGATCCGGCCCCACCGCGTCCTCCCCGGCCTCCCCGGCCACCTCCGGCACGAACTCCGCCGTGGCCAACGCCGGCGTCCGCGAGGTGAAGCACGAGGACTCGGACGAGGGAAGGAGCGGCGCCGCCTCGAACTGGAGCCTCAAGCGGAAGCAGGCGAGTCCCGGAGGAGCCACCTCGGACGGGGCCAAGTGCCGCCGATCCGGCGATGGGGAGCTTTCTCCATCTGCATCGGCGTCACGTGCCGTCGCGGAGGACTCCGACGAGAGGGGGCGCGGGCGGCGAGGAAGAGGACAAGCGCCGGACTGCGCGCCTGATGCGGAACCGTGAGAGCGCGCAGCTCTCTCGGCAGAGGAAGAAGCGGTACGTCGAGGAGCTGGAGGAGAAGGTGAAATCGATGCACTCGGTGATAAATGACCTCAATTCTAAGATCTCCTTCATCGCGGCCGAGAACGCCACACTGAGGCAGAAACTCGGTGGTGCCGGGGTGAGTGGCCCGCCACCTGTGGTTTATCCACCGCCACCACTGCCAGGCATTCATTTCCCCTGGGTTCCTGGGTATGCAATGCGGCCTCATGGCTCCCATGTCCCACTTGTGCCAATCCCGCGATTGAAGCCACAGCAGGCAGCAGCTGCAGGGAAGGTATCCAAGAAACCGGAGGTCAAGAAGTCTGTGGAGAGCAAGAGTAAGACCAGGACCAAGACCAAGAAGGTGGCAAGTATTAGCCTTCTTGGTTTGCTGTTTGTTGCACTTGTCTTTGGTGCTTTTGTTCCTGGGTTCAATCATAGTCTTGGAATGAGAGGAAGGAGTGACAATGTGATGTTTGGAAATTTTGGCCGTTCTGATGCTAGGATGTTTAGTGTCACTAACCATGGTAAAGGACCTAAAGGTGGTTTAAACAGTAGTGACATCATCAGTACTGATCCTGGAATGGTTACTGGGCATGCTGATGGAGCGGGGCAGAAGCATCGAGCTGCAAATGACTCCAGTGAGATCTTGCCTGCTTTGTTGTATGTGCCGAGGAATGGAAAACATGTTAAGATCAATGGCAATTTGATTATTCATTCTGTGCTTGCAAGTGAGAAAGCAGTGGCACATAAGGCCTCAAATGTTCAGTCAGTTAAAGATTACAAGGAGACCAGTGTTGCTATAGCTCGCTATCTGTCCCCACCTGGAAAGGATATGAATTCAAAAGAGACGTTCCCGCCAGATGCACCACTGCCACAGTGGTTTCGTGAAGGAATGGAAGGTAAGCACGTTGATGTTTAATTTGTTTAGCAATGTCATATTCTTTGTTTATTTGTGGTAGGCTGGTAGCACATTCATCATGAAATTCATTTGTCACCATGTGTAGCATTCAGACATCCTCTTATGTGATGTGGTAATCGATAATGATTCTTGTATTTGTTATTCATCCCAGGGTATGCTAATATATAATATATAAAATTTAGAACTTCACTAATTAAAATATGAATCTAAATGGTAAGTGTGATCAAGTGATTTGTAGAAAACACGTAAAAGCAAGTTAGATTGGGAAATAAAGCTACTACGTTGAATCATAATTAAATGATGTTTTGGTTGGACATCAAAGTTGACTTGTAATTAGTTACATTTTGCTGTCCAAAACGTCATCTATTGTGACCTGAGGGAGGATAAGTTGCCAGCTAGTAACATGACATGGTAGCGTGGCAAGAAAATGGAACTATGTCCATACTTGATGTATCTTTATTTTAGGGGGAAGGGGGATATCTATAATTGTGATGACCATGCCACATGGACTCATAAGAACTTGTGTGTTGTTAATGCTTGATTATATAACTTCTGTGGCCATGTACAATGGCAGTAAGGAAATTTCAACTTGGATGGGGTGATCTTTGTATGCTGATCTATGCTTTTGCTCTCTTCACCCATTTCTGAGGTTGCAAACAGTGCATACTTAAATTTGCAGCCTATGCTCACGAAATCTTACAAGCTTTAAGCCTAGTTCAAAGTTCGAACTTGGAAGTAAAGTTTCTGCATCTTAGGGGATAGTTTTGACCTCAAATCTGAAGTTTGCTGTCTTTGATCAGAGATTTTAATTCTAGCGGTTGCTTTTCCTGATAAAATGAGAAGAGGCAACAAATTGGAACTCTCAACAATAAAATCTGTGTTCATTTTTTTGATATTTCAGTAATGTTTAGTAGGCATTCCAGAATATCCAGATTTTTGGCAAACATTTCGTGTCAGAATCTCCAACTGTCCGGTTGAGATTTGATACTCCTTGAGTATTTATCCATAGTGTCTTACTCTGGGATTTGTGTGTAACAATTTTCAGGACCCGTTTTGAACTCGGGAATGTGCAGTGAGGTATTTCAGTTCGATATTTCCGCAGCTTCGGCCAAATCTGGTGGCATTATACCTGCTTCTCCAACTGTGAACTCCTCAAGTGTCAATGCTACCCAAAAAATTCCGAAGCCTGCTCCTGCTTATGGGGGCAAGCTGAAAAACAGGAGGATCATGTATAACGAGGCGATTCCACTCACTGGAAAAAAGGTGAACAACACAGAGCCTCGGGCGTTTAACAGCACTTCTGAAAGCAGCAAGGTACCTGATATCAAGCCAGCATCATCAGTTATCGTCTCTGTGCTAGCTGATCCCAGGGAGGCTGGCAATGGGGATGGTGATCCAAGAGTATCACCAAAACCCCTCTCCAGGATATTTGTCGTCGTACTGCTTGATGGTGTCAGATACGTGACTTACTCGTGCACACTTCCTTTCAAGAGTGCCAGCCCCCACCTTGTGAACTAACCTTGGGGCCAGTGCAGCTTTCTGGTTCATGAGCAGCTAGATAGTTTGGGGAATCTGATGCATTGGAGGTAGATGAAATATAGATCATGTGGCGTTGCTTGCTAACAATGGAAAGAGACTTTAAGACTTGCACTCGGCCTGAGGTAATTTGAGTTTGTCGAAGGTTTGTAGTGGGGACTGGCGAAATGTTCTGCAAGTTCAACCTTAACCCATGAGGCTTGTGCTTCTATGTAGTCGAGTTCTTATACTCACCTCTTTCTGGTGTATGATCCTGTAATACTCTTTGATTGCGGAGCTGGAAAATGTAACAGTTGATGAGGGAAGACAATAACTGGAAAACAACTTTGTACTAGTATAGTAGTATATTATATAAATATATATGAAGTTTTTTAATGATTAGTTGATGCCTCGCTCTTGAATTTCGAATCTGCATTATTATCCCTAGATTAGTGAAAAATATTTGACGTTCTGGATTATATTTATTTATTGTGACAGTTATGATAGGAGAGCTGAGTGGGGCGACTTTGGGGGCGACCGCCGAACCCTCACAGGAGTCCTACCGACGGGGAGCCTCCGTGGCGGATCCAGTGGGATCGGAGCCTGCGGACTCCGCCTCCTGTTCGTCGGCGGAGTTACTCCATCAAAGAGATGAATTTCGCCGACTTCGCGATGATTGGAAGGCTCGATTCTCTGCCGTCCTCGACACGTCTCTCGCGAGTCCATCCTCCCATGGTGACCTGGGGTTGCAGGACCGTTCAGTGATTCTCCCTCAAGCTCCATCCACCTCGGCCGTAGAGAGCGCCGCCGTTGAGGAACTTATTGCGAAGTGGGATGCCTGGCAGAAGGAGAACGTTCCAGGTGCGAGGATGGCGGCTGAGACAGTTGCATCCTTTGCAATGGAGAAGACGCGTCCAGGGGTGGAGGTGCTCCTGGCTCAACGAGATTGGTGGCGCGCGAAGAATGTCACTTCGTCCTCGCAAACTCGACTGGAGGCGCGAAGGTGGTCGGGCCAAAAGTATGAGGAGAATTTCCCGTCGATCACGGAGAGCAGACGGAGGCGTACAAAGGCGAGGGGCTTTGGCGTCCCAATCAATGATTCACAACGGGATTTCGAGAGATCGAGGGGCAAGAATTCATTCTCGTTCGAAGAAATCGCAGATGATTCCCTCAAAATCAAGCGGATTTCGATTGAACTTTGATGGGACAGCCATGGCGGGTCGGTACCGAAGAACAGAGCGGGAGAAAGCCGGCGACCCGAATTCGAAACCGTCAAGGTGGGGCCGACGCGTCAGTGACCTTGGTTTCGCATACCGCCCAAGGTGACCCAGGGATCCAAGGGTCTGGACCTGGAGATGAGACGCGGCAGGGGTCCGGAGGTTGGTGAGCGTGAGGTGAGGGGTGACCCCGAGTCGGGGCACTCTCCACCCAAACCCAAAGGCTCCTGTAGTGATCTGGATTCCATTCGATGTAGTGGAGAAGCTATCCCCAAATCTTCCATCTCGAACCCTAGGGTTAGTGAACCCACCAAATCCACTCACAATATTTCTCGATTTGTTGGGCATTTATGGAAGGGAGGTTCGGTGAAGTCTTTCATCTCTACTGTGCGAGCCGGGCCGGCTCAAATCGTGCAAGTGAAGATGAATCATGGAAATGGGCGTTGGAATAACCAGGGATATAGTCATGATTCTTATGGGAGAGGTGGCTTTGGTCGGGGGTGGTTTGGAGATGGTGCCTATGGTCGTGGCGGCGGTGGAGGGTATGGGAGAGGCGGCTTTGATGGCGGATATGGGAAGGGCGGCTTCGATGGCAGATATGGGAGAGGCGGCGGGGATGGTGGATATGGAAGAGGCGGCGGGGATGGTGGATATGGAAGAGGCGGACGTGATGGCGGCTATGGGTGAGGTGCTGGAGGTGGACGTGAAGGGCAGGGGAAAGGATTCAATGGCCGCGGTATGGTCTGGGACATGAAAACTAATCAAGCTGCTGAATCTAGTCAGAATGCTGTTGTGGAAGATCATCAGGTTTCTGAGAAAGGTGATGAGAAGTGGGACAAGATAGCTGACAAGAAAGATAAAGCAAATGAACAGAAAGCTACTGAAAACAGTGATCAGCAAAATATAGAAAAGGAAGAACTCCAAGTGATAGTGGAAGACCAGATCAAGGAACCAGCTAAATAGCAAGGTGATAATATTCCTGCTCCCCCTAGACCAGCCTGTGAGATATGTGGCCTGTCAAATCATATCACTAGGGATTGTAGGAGATTGATATGTGAAATATGTGGGATGGATACTCATATGTCTTATGACTGTAAGAACTGTATGGCATGGAACTTGGGACCTAAACTGTGTGTTGCTCAGGTTGAAGATCAAAGTTTTTTCTATATTGAAGAACTTGTAGATCCCAGAGTGGCTAGAGAAAAAGATAGCACTGCTATTATCTCTGTAATTAGCGGACAAGCTTCTGGTAAGTAGATCGAGTAGGAATTTATGGGTCTTTTGGGTGCTTCTACCTGGCGATGGACTGCTAGACAGCTCAATGAGGGGAGATTTGTCATGAGGTTTCCCAATGCTCAAATGGTGAGAGAATGGAGTGGGTTCAAAAATTATGCTATGAGGAATGTAGAGGCTCAGTTGAAGATTGCTCCTTGGTGAAAGCTCTAGTTTGGTTTTGGTGAATTGATGAAACCCTATGTGCTAACCTAGTTTATCTAAGTGATCAATGAGATAGGTAGCACATTACAAGTGATGAAGCAATGGTGAAGATCATGATGATGGTGTGGTGGCCATAATGATCAACTGCTTGGACTTGGAAAAGAAGAAAGAGAAAAACAAAAAGCTCAAGGCAAAGGTGAATTTCCATAGGAGCTTTTTGGTTTGGTGGTTGAGACACTTAGCCAGTGTGATCACATTTAGGATCGATAGTCGTACTATTAAGAGGGGTGAAACTCGTATCAAAATGCGGTTATCAAAGTGCCACTAGATGCTCTAACTCATTGCATATGCATTTAGGATCTAGTGGAGTACTAACACCCTTGAAAATGTTTGTGAAAATATACTAACATACGTGCACAAGGTGATACACTTGGTGGTTGGCACATTTGAGCAAGGGTGGAAAAGTTGGTGAAGTGAAGGAGGTGATTTTCACTGTGAAACAGTGACTGGACGCAGGTCACGTGGTGACCAGACTCGGAGGTGCTGCGTTCGGTCAATTATAAAATGAAGTTTGGCGCGCTCGGCCTTTGTTTGGTGCATGACCGGACGCTAGGGTAAAAGGTGACCTGACTCGATGCTGGTGCGTCTGGTCAGGCTGACGTACGCTGACGTATGAGGTTTGAGTGAGCATGGAGAAGACCTGACTCTGGGCGAGTCCGATCAGTAGAGATCGGATGCGTCAGGTCGGCGTTTAGGCGCTCGGGGAGGTCTCTAGAAATGACCTGACGTGCGGGCACCACGGTTGATCGGCGTGTCTGATCGTGTGTTGCCGTGCGTGGGCAAGGCTAGCACCGGTGCATCCGATCATCACTTAACCGTGAGGGCGCTGAGAATTGACCGTTGGGATCAAGCGGTTGACGTTGAATCCGGGGGACACGTGGATGAATAGCCACGATCGGACGCTGGGGGACTACATCCGGTCAGTGTGACCTATGCGTCCGGTCGTCCCATGAAAGCTGAGGATAGAGAGCCAACAACTCTATTTCAAGGGGGCTCTATTTAAGACCCATGGACGTCTTAAGCTCACTCTCTTGGCCATTTGCATTGACATAGCAACCTTGTGAGCTTAGCCAAAGCCCTCTCACTCATCTCCATCATTGATTCATCATCCTTGTGAGATTGGGAGTGAATCCAAGTGCATTGCTTGAGTGATTGCATCTAGAGGCATTTGGTGTTCGTGTTTCGCTGCGGGATTTGCTTGTTACTCTTGGTGGTTGTCGCCACCTAGACGGCTTGGAGCAGCGAGGATCATCGAGCGGAGGAAGGTGTTTGTCTCCGGCTCCGATTGTGGTGATTGTGAGGGGTTCTTGACCTTTTCCCGGTGGGAAGCCAAAAGGTACTCTAGTGGATTGCTCGTGGCTTGTTTGATCCTCATCTTGTGTTGGTTGTGTGGCACCATATTGAGGGTTTGGCATATGATGCCAATTAGTGCATGAACCACCAAGTGAGTGAATCACCATAACGAGGACTAGCTTGCCGACAAGCAAGTGAACCTCGGTAAAAAATCATTGTGTCCTCATTTTTTCCGAGGTAATTGGTCTTCATTGGTATTCATTCTTGTAATTGATTGGTTCATTCCTCGACTCAGCGGCATAACCATCTTGCTCTTTCTCTTTACATTACCGCAAACTAGTTGTCAAGCTCTTTAGTGTAGCTAGTCATGAGAGCTTGTTAGTTTGGTTAGTGTGGCTCTTTAGTTCGCCTTTAATAGCACACTTAGTGTAGTGACATAGCTATTGTGTGGATAGAGACTAGAGAAACTAGAATTGTGTTAGGTGGCTTGCATTTTTAGTAGGCTAGCATAACACTCGCTTCGCCTCATATTTATCTAACCGGTTTGCTAAGTGTTGTTGTAGAAATTTTTAATAGGCTATTCACCTACCCCTCTAGCCATTAGGACCTTTCAAGTGGTATCAGAGCTGTGGTCACCGTGATTTGAGGCTTAACAACCTTCGGTGTCAAAATGGCTCAAATCAACAACACCAATAAACCACCCCAATTTAATGGCACAAATTATCCATATTGGAAGTCAAAGATGACCACATATATCAAGTCAATCAATAGAAGGGTGTGAAAGGTGGTAGAAACCAAAATTGAGATTGCTGATCCGGAGAATCCCACCGCGGCCGAAGAAGTGCTTCTCCAAAACAATGACATTGCTCTAAGTGCCATTCATGATGCAATTGATGAGAGAACATTTGAGCAAATCAAGAATATTGAGATGGCTCATGAGGCTTGGAAGAAGTTGAAAGAATCATTCGAGGGCACCAAGGCAATAAAGGGTGCAAA